AAGGATCGAGAATTCGATTATTGCGAATTTCGGGAACTTCCTACCGGTGCGAACAATTTTATTTCTGCTTCTTGATTTACCGCATCCGAATCGCTATTGCGATTACTAATATTATAATTTAAGTCATGCTTAAAAATTATCATTCCAACACATTCAACACTGAGCCCTATCGTCGCCGGTCAAATGACCGGTTTCGCATTTTTTATTTCATAATTATTAACGAAGCGAAGCTACGAAAATCTGTTCAGCATAAAAAGTTGTCTCGCGTGGGTGTTAACGAATTTTTCATTCACATAACGGTGCAGAGGATACTTCAAGGTCAACTCGATCATATCAAATCAGGCTGTACACTTTTTAACTCGTTTTACGACCGTACTCGGTTAGGCGAACCACTCTATAATAATTACACGTCCAATGGACAAGCATTTTTCCGTGAAGCAAATAAATTCAAACGGAATCATTCTCTTGCCACGCTGTCTCGCAACTTTCCGCCGAGAAAAGCGTCTGGAAGACCAGTTCTCAGGGTTTCTCGTTCGATAAAGTCCTCGATCTCCGACATGTTGATCTCATTCCGCGCGCTTAGCGCGGCGTCGTGCATGATTAAGCTCGGCGATCGACGTCGTCGTTCCACTCGACTCGATCATTCAGCCCTGAATTTCTGTCGCACGCACGTGCCCGTGTGCCGGCGATCGATGACGAAACGCCGATTCTAAGCCGTAGTAGGTCCGCGAGAAAGATCGCGCCGCAGGATCGAGAGATCGCGCGGCCTCGGTCCCCAGGATACGCCGTTGTCACGGCGAAATGATCGATAACGCGGCCGGGACGACGCCCTGCACTTCTCGCGCGCGGCTACACGTTTGCAAGACTTTTCTCGCGAACACATGTCGATCGATGATCGATATTTAGCGCCGCCGAAAGCGGCCCCGCGGCCGCGTCCCCGACTTCGTCTTTTTGCTCGGCTTCTTCCTTCTTTCGCCGCCTTTCGGAAACGAATCCCGCGAGCAGAATCAGAATCATTTTCTCCGGCTAAGATTCTTCGGCTACAGCGCGGTACAAAGCGCCGCGCGGTGCGCTCGATGCGAATTTTGAAGTGGCTGCGATTTAACGCGTTTGGTTTTAAGACACGAAATTTGCTTGTTCATAGTTCGACTATTCATTTGTTTATTTCTGTTTTGAACATTCTTGTTCCGGAAATTAGCTGTTATAAAATCGAAGAATACAGAGGTTTGGTTACGTGGACAGGTACAAGGTTGAATGAAAAATCGTAGCGTAATCGCAATTTTGTTTAATTACTGTGTTGAATCTATACGGATTGTAATAAGTAGACTGCGGATTGTTTATGCGAAATGAAAAGTTGCATCAGTTGCAAGTAAACAGAAGCCGCATAAATAGTTATTCCAGTCCTGAATAATTTTAATCAATTCTAAATGATATAATCGTATTGTTAAATTTTTGTTGACGATGTCACTCTTTTGGGTTTCATCTATCCATTTTTGTCATAAACGTAAATAAAATCCGCGGTCTAATAATAACGTGGCGAAATTAGTTGAAGCAGTACGCCGTCGATTCTGCATGAAAGAGTGCAACGGATCATTGAAAAAACTCGACGTACACGCTGTTTGCATTAAAGAACGCACACGATCGTGGCCGGAAAAGCGTGAAGAAGTTTTCTGGATCCGAAATAAAATATTGAAGCATTCGGTTGAGACTTCTCCAAAATCGCTGGAGAGTCGTTAAGGAGCCTGTAGACAAAAATAATATCATAATTCTCGGGAACCCGTGGCGAACGCGCGTGAAAGACGCCGCGCCGGCCGTAATTAAAAGAAAGAATCGGCGTTCGGCCCGTTCGAGGAGTTAGAAAGTCAAATTGCGTTAGCGTCCTTGGTCCGAGCACTTTCCACGGTCCGCCAAATAATGAAATCGAAGGGAAATTGAAATTAGGCGTGCGATACGACTCGCTTCCTCGACAACCTTCGAACGGTCGGTGACGCGTAAAATAAGTAGAATTTCACGCTGCTTTAAGAAAAAATGATCATCTTTATCTCGTTCCTGACAAAAATTCCAAGAGATTTGGACGCAATAGTCACGTTCACTGGCGAGCCTAATTCGAAGAAATCTTTTCCGAACACGTTTCATTCTTTCACTAAATAAATAGTAATAAATAAAAAGAAAATAATAGTAACCAAAAAATACTGAATAAATCCTTTTTGCCGTTGGTAAGAAGCCTTTGAAAAGACGCGTCGTGGCGCGCGTTCGCCACGAGACATGTCGCAGTTGGCATTGAACGGGTCAAGGGACTTTCTGCGGAGCGGACGCCGCGTTTCCGTGCCGGGGTCGATCATTTTTCGGCCGGAGCCGCGGCGTTCCGCGCGCGATTCATAAATCTGGAGTGCCGATCAAAGTCCATCGCGGTCACTTAAAATATTATAAAGCGATCGTTTACGCACGCGGGACCCGTTCCTGGTCGTAAATTTCTCGGCGTCGGTCGGGGGCACCGTTTTAAAAATGAACGGTCGAGCGAGCTGGCTCGGCCACGTACGTCTACTACGCGGCGACCCCACGACTATGCTCGTAAACGATAGGACGCGGAGGAATTATGAAACGGGAATGTGAGAAATGGCCTACAGGTGGCTGGCTGGCTGGCTGACTGGCGGGTTTTCGAGAGGTTCTACCCGCGGAGCCTCTGAGCCACGGAACTCGATGGAACTCGTTTCCCTGAGAGACGAGCAATCTACTTTTATTGCACGACGCCCACACGCTCGTCCCGCTGCGTGCCGGCTCTATTGCCGACTACTTTTTCCTTCAACGTGTAACAACCAGGAATCCTGACCAGAGAGCCTCTCCGGCTCTCTGTTGGCGAACCGGCATTAAGTCATCCGGGAACGGAGTCCTCGATGACGTTCTCTAACGAGCCAAAGTCAGCTGCGTTTAGTTTCAATTAGTACTCGGCCAGGTGGAAAGAAACCTCTTTCAGGGTCCCGCGATGCTTCTGTAGGCGTTTGTTGCATTAATACGTTCGGTGCCGCGTGAGTCATGCATGGGCGACGCTAATTTTTAACCAGGTTCTTCAAATTTATTTGTATCGCATTGTATCGAATATATTGAACGTTACCAGGCTTTGTAGAATAGTAAATAGCTGTGCCAATATTCTCCATTAAATTTTCACTTTCTAGTTTCGATGTTGTTAATTAAATGGCTTTGACTTTGTGCGAATTTTTCGAGCATATATTCGACGATGAATTTGCGGGATTTAGATCAGCAGTTCGGTTCGTTCTAAGTTGGAGATCATTGTTGCCGGTGATAACGATAGTAACATTGCAATTATCTTTTTCTTCGTGCAGGTTAATTAGACTCAAGATGTACTGTTGGTGTGTTTAGTTACAGACTTAAAGTAGCTTTTACAGCGTTAGTGATATCTGGACGGATATTTAACAAAATATTATATTTTGGTATTTCTATTTTCTAGTATTTTTAATGTAGAAATTTCCAAATATTTTGTTCTTTTCTTTTTAAATATAAGTTTAAATTAAAATTAAACAAAAATTAAAGTAAATTTTTAAATATTAATATAAATAGCTAAAGGAGGTTGCCTTTAGTACTCTGTGAACAACTATAAGCTTAGAATAAACGTTACATTTTTACTGACATTTAAATCGAAACAAACAAAAAAGCTATATTTGTATATCTCTATTTTCTATTATTTCTAACATAGAAATATATAAATAATTTTATATTTGTAAATATACAAATATTTCGTCGAAACATCGCCAAAAATGTAAAAGTCACTTCGAGTCTACAATTCTTCACACCACCGTAGCCTCCAAACAATTAATTAGTAATTCCAAAAGTACCTTTCTTTTTTTCAAAATAACACTACTCCCATGCCTCTATTAGTTCATAGCAATCGAGAGAACCGATTACTGACATACGCAGAGAAATGAATTACCTTTACAGCAAAAATCAAAAATTCCGCTACACGCATCTCATTTTTCCGACACATAAATTCGCTTCCGACGATTCCGAACACCGTGCAGTCCGAGCCAAATTTCCCAAAAATCTACTCGCATTCTCGGACCACGAGTAGCCACGGCACTGTCCTAGGTCAGAGACGACCGTCTCGCTGGAATGTCGCGGACACAGACGGCAAACGGCGGCGACGGCCGTCCGATGTAATTCGTGCAAACATCCGAGAACAATATTGTCCTTCGTTTCTCAACTGGTTACCGCGTCGGCTCGTTTTCGCATTACATAAACCGTGGACGGGCGTCGGGCTTATTAAGTATTCGCGGTGAACGGTGTTACGGTGTACGCGCGGCGGCCAGGTTGCCCGTGAACCTAAGGCGTTCTTCTCGGCGTCTGTTACCAGAAGAACGCCGCGCGATTATCGGGCGAGCCAGTTCCGTGGCTCGCAGATCGTTGAACCCCTAACACAGAAACGATCCTCGAAACGGCAGCTGCTCGAAACCTCGTGCGGAATGATCGCCGACAGCATATCGCGGCCCGGGAAAATGCCTAGTTCCTCTTAGATAACGGCCGCGAACTTTCTCAAATTTTACGGAGATGCTTTTACGTAACGGGAGAGGACGAATTAGTCGGATCGTCAGGAAGCAGTTGCCGAGGAGAAACTTCCGCGCCATATTCCTCGTCGGTTAGCCATCGATCAGCGATCGGCTCGTCCGCTTTTTGCCGCACGCGTGTGCCGGCTAAGGGATCCGCCGCCGCCGCCGCCGCGCAGGGACCGAGAAAGTCCGTCGTCGCAACGTTTTGTAACCGCGGTTCGCGACGATATTCGTCCGCCGCCGCTGCTGCGAGCAGCAGGCATCTCGATGGCGGAAGGAACGACGAATAGAAAGCGAGACGCGGAGAAAGATGCGCCGAGAGCAGAGTTATGCGACGCGGCCGCTCTAGCGAACGACCCGCGGGATTAGGTCGATGCGATCATATCGGAGGGGTTACGCGAACTCCAACCCCCGCGTGATAAACATGCGATGCAAACTTACGTCTCGAACGAAGTCCTCGCGACCGTCGTTTGAGGCCTCCTCCACGTTGATCCGGATTCCGGACATGTTCCGGGGGTGTCTCACTCCGTGACAATGATCGATGCACTGCGAGGACCTCGGAGGTCTCTCTCTCTCTCTCTCCTCTCCTCTAGCTCTGCTCTAGGGGACAGGCCTAGGAGCGTCACTGTTCGACGAATACCCCTTCGAACCACCACTCCCGCGGGGGCTGATGGTTCGGAGCTGCACGTATTCCACAACAAACCACTCGATCACCTCGAATCTCGGCTTCGTGCGACTATTCTCGGGAGGACTCGATGCGAACCAGGGTGCGCGAGCCACCAAAGGGTGCGCGGGTTCTTCCTCTCGACAGGGAACCGTTTACCAACCCCTGGTTCTTTTTCTCTTTCTCTCTCTCCTTTTCTCGGTTTCTTTTTCTCTCTCTCGTTAATCCTCTCGCCGAGAAAATTCGAGCACGAACTCTCGCAGACTCGCCAGGCGATCGCTCTGCGAAACCATAAGATCTGGGCTCTGCCGATCGGTGCGCGCGTCTCTTCCGGTTCGTGGACGTCTGTGGACGAATGCCGTGTTTTTCTAAATTTTTTTTCGTGTACCCGCGAGCCTGTACGCGCCTCGTTTCGTATATCGTATATCGTTCCGTGCCGTTTCGTGTGTCTGGATCGTCTCTCTCGCACGCGTGCGACTAGAGCCGCCGCCACATCTGGCCTTTGGACTGGCTGCCAGCACACCGCCAGATCGGTTTTATACCTTCGTATCTCCCACCCAGGGTGACGAGCGCGAGCGAGCGCGCTCACGGCACGTCGATCCTGTGCACGCGGGCCGCCTCTCCGCTCGGCCACGGCCGAGAGGACCGATCTTTTCTTCCTTTTCTTCGAGACGCGACTTTTTTATTTTCCTCCCTTTACTGCGCGCACCGAAGCGACCCGTGCGCCGCGTTCAAGCTCGCTTTATTGTTATTATTTATTCATGCCACCGGCGAAATACCCTTTACCTTACGGATTCGTAGGGTTCAGGGTGGTTCAGGGTTGGGACGACGTGCTTCGGATACGAATTCGGGAGCATTTTCGGGAGTACGGTAATGTCTCTGTAATTTCACAATATATTATATTGAAATTTATGTTTTGTTATTACTGTGTATTGTACGGTAAATTCTCCCCAATTGTCCTTCAGCTTGTAAAGTGGACAATTTGGGAAGAGGAGGTACGATTGTTCGAGCCTTGCGACTTGCTTTTGTATAGTTACCGATTGTCAACAGTTATAAATACGAGGTGCAAGGCTTGAATGATCGTATCTCCTCTTTCCAAATTGTTGATTTTTGTTTACAAGTTGAAGGAGAAATTAGGAAGAATTTACTGTAACCAGATTTAGTGGCGATATATTCTAAATCTTGCATTTTTATAGGTAAACAGAGTAACAAAATATAAATTTCAATATATACAGTAAATTCTCCCCAATTGTCCTTCAGCTTGTAAAGAAAAATGGTCAATTTGGGAGCAGGAGATACGATTATTCCGGCTTTGCAGCTTGTTTTTATAATCGTTGACAATCGGTGACTGTAAAAACGAGCCGCGAATAATCGCATCTCCTCTTCCCGAATTGTCCACTCTTGTGCGTCATTTCTGAGCGTCGATTAGGGAGACATATATATTACTGTATAAATAGACAAATCTTTCCTACTCCTTTGGGAGTATGCTCGCCGATGCTTCCGTCGAGAGATATTTGCTACCAAAGTTGTTGGACTTGGTAATATTTGAGCGGGTTGAAAGTATGGTGGCGTAAGTCATAGTTTTCCTTATTGCGAGGAACGAGGAGTGTTTTCGTTTGTTAACACGTGTGCCGTTTACCGACCAAATCTATCGTTANTCAATTTGGGAGCAGGAGATACGATTATTCCGGCTTTGCAGCTTGTTTTTATAATCGTTGACAATCGGTGACTGTAAAAACGCTGTCTCTTATACACATCTATATACAGTAAATTCTCCCCAATTGTCCTTCAGCTTGTAAAGAAAAATGGTCAATTTGGGAGCAGGAGATACGATTATTCCGGCTTTGCAGCTTGTTTTTATAATCGTTGACAATCGGTGACTGTAAAAACGAGCCGCGAATAATCGCATCTCCTCTTCCCGAATTGTCCACTCTTGTGCGTCATTTCTGAGCGTCGATTAGGGAGACATATATATTACTGTATAAATAGACAAATCTTTCCTACTCCTTTGGGAGTATGCTCGCCGATGCTTCCGTCGAGAGATATTTGCTACCAAAGTTGTTGGACTTGGTAATATTTGAGCGGGTTGAAAGTATGGTGGCGTAAGTCATAGTTTTCCTTATTGCGAGGAACGAGGAGTGTTTTCGTTTGTTAACACGTGTGCCGTTTACCGACCAAATCTATCGTTAAGATGATTTAGAGTTAAGTTAACGCTGGTGTTACCGAGCTTCATCACGTTAAGTGCCGAATATTAATTAATATTATTCGAAAAATTCACGCGATATTAAAGTCATTCAATTAATGACACCGAAACTGGAAAGCGAAGATTTACCATAGGAAATATTGATTCTATTTTGTATTCCACAAATCCTAGTTAAAAATTATTTTGTGGAATTATTCCACAAAAACCTAATTAAAAATTAACGAACGTATTAAAATTAGCGTGACTCGAGACAGGCCGAAGCCACGAATTTTATAATTATTAACGAATCTCGTATGCAACATGGACAAAATGAATAATTCAGTGTCTCTTTAAGTTCGCAAGTAGTCGATTTTTGAAGCACCATGAGTCAAAGTTGAGAATGTTGCGGAATATCTACGGAAACGATTTGGATCTTCGGCGAACAGAAGAAAGAAACAGTGCTGAGGACAGGTGTGAATGTCATCAATAAACAGGTTAAACAATGGTGAGCCAAAATGTGACCCCCGTGGTACACCCGATTTAATATAGACGCAATTTTATAAATCATACATTTCAATAAAACTGTATTGTTGAATTTGACTGTGTGCTTTTTACTGAAATGATAGCTAGGAAGCCGCATAAGGACTTCGTTAGAAAAGGCATATGCCCTTAATTCGGATAAAAGAAGAACCTTTACCGGGAACTTCGACGCAGCTGACCACGCATCGAGGCGAGGCTAGAAGCAAGGACGGGGCTGTCGATCAGGACGGGCCCCGAAAGAGGCCCGCGACAACACGGAGGCTTATTCAACACAGAGGCTTATTCAACACAGAGGCTTATTCAACACGGATACCAATCCAACACAGAGACCAATCATCCACACAGAGAACGGCATCGGGAAACAGCTTATCGCGAACGGTGTTCTCGCCTCCGTGTACCTGGAGCGAGAGGATCATGGCACCTTGTACCCGCGACACCTGCTATCTCACTCGTAACTCCTCGCCGAAGAGAGACGCGTTCTTGAACGGGGAACATGATTTCTGGGGAGATATCGATGCTGCGGTGTCACGCTGTTTGCTCACTTTCGTCGCCGGCTCGGATTTTAACCCTCTCGGTCTGCGGTTACCGGGCACAGTTTGACCCGGTGGTGTACTCGTAATTGTAGAAACATACTAAGAGATCTCGTAACACCGCGATTCAAATTGTCCGAACGAAGAGACGTCGGTTCGTAGCCTTTCTTCACTTAATACAGGGAAAACGATACAATTGTCATTAGGTTTCACTGATTATAATTTAACGTTTTTATTGATTTCTCGTTCATCTATACCGCGTCTAATCTAGTAGATCGTTTCAATTTCGTGCTCTTTAATTGCATCAAGTTCTTTCGACTCATCGTAGAAGGGAAGACTTTGCTCTGTGAAGCGTGTTAAAGCGAATCTCGAAGAAAATTTGCTAACCTCTCCACGGTTAATTTAAAGTAACTTTATAATTTCTTGCGCTAGCTTTGTTAACAATTTGGTGTAGATTGCGTTTAAGGCATGAATTAATCGAATTAGATCACTGCATATATTACGTTCCGTGATCTAAAGGGCGCCCTTTCATTTAATAAATAATAATCAATAAATAACAATCAATGATAAGAACGTTTTCGAAAATATCATTTACACCGCCACGATTCCCCATTGAAATGTGTATTTAATTATGCACGCGAGTTTCTATTAATCGTCTGAACGATTCCCAGGCGCTGGTGAGGTTCCCGAAACGCTTTCTGCGCATGGCGCGTGGTTTATGACCTGCACTAATCAGCCGGAGTCATCTCCGGATTCATTCAGTTTGCTCGCGGTTGTTCGCGCCGCATTCGATTCGCTCGGATCAAGATTGTTCGGAGCGTCGTCTTTTTCACGTGGGATTTCGAGCGACGACGGGGTTCCTCCTCGTCGCAAACCTGTTCCCGTTTCCGGCCAGGTAGGCGTAGGCGCTTGTGGAGGGGTCCCGGGATCCCCCATTGTCGTTTTGCTCCCGTCTTTGGTCGATTCGTTTCGGGAAAAAAGTCGAGGAGGGATGGGCGACGTCCGCTTCTGCGAACGGCAACGCGTCACTCCTTTGTTCACCCTCGAACGCTGACGTATATAGGGTGCTCTGTCAACCAGCAGTCCGGATTTCGGGGTTAATTCGGGGACGCGTGTTGTAAATCTCTCGGAGACTGCGATTGTTCGGAGGAATTTGTTTCTTGGTAGTTGCAGATTGCTGGCATTAGTGTGACGGGACGAGAAACGAAATTTTGGCAGAGCGATGTTTAGAACAAATGTATGTTAAATTTTAGCAGTAGATATCGAGCGAATTATGAGCAAAATTAGGGGTAAAGTTTGTAAGAGAATTCTCTGCAATTCTTTTTGCGCTTGTGAACAGAAATGGACAATTTGGGAGAACGAGATAGGATTATTCGAGCCTTGCATTTCGTTTTTATAGTTGTCTTTTCCCAAATTGTCTATTTTTGTTTACAAGCTAGGGGACGGTTGGAGAGAATTTATTGTATTCGAGTAGCAAGGAGATAGAATCGATAACAATTATGGCGCTCAAAACAAAAGGTCCTATTTGCAGTATTTAGTAATTCGATATTTTAGTAAGCACGTATATTTATTATTATTTATATTATTATTATTTATTATTATATATATTTATTATTATTTTTATTATTACTATTTATTATTATATATATTTAAAATTATTTATTATTATATTTATTAACATAGGGCAATAATGTTGTGTAATTTATAACATTAAAATTTAGTACACGTGTAGAAAATATATACAACGATCTAGAGGTATCAAGTTGTCAAAATTATCAAATTTTACAGATAGGACCTTTTGTTTTAGAACGGCAGAATATGATTTTCTCATAATCGACTCGATGTCTACGGCAACAAATTTTGATACACATTTTTCGTACATATAAACGATATCACTCTGCAAATTTTCGTTGAAATCGATGTGAGCCATGATTGCTGCTTTCTTTCGTTGGACCCACTTGCAGATCGTTTTATCGTTCGTAATGGAATAATAGCAGTAACCTGCGTACGTTTTGCTTCCCGTGATAGAGAAATAAGTCAAGGACTTCGAGGCAGATACGTCACAAAATTCCGACGCAAACGCCACCACGGGAATGCGAAGTAACGGAATCGAAATTTGGGTTTCATTACACTTTAAAATTTGCATTCGGGGAGCAATCGCTTCCTACTGCTCCAAGGCCTCCCACCGCGCTTCTTATGGCTCGCATTAACCTACAAATCGCGTCGCAATTAATCCGAACGATTCCGTCGCATCAAGTTTTCC